GCTGACAGAGCAAGTGAATGGAAGACATGTTTGGTGACCCCTTGCCGGGTGTGGCTGAAATGGCAGAGTATGGTCCTTCAAATGTGGAGATGAGTGGGATGGAAAGTTAGGACAAGGGGAAACTTTGTTTCAGGAGAGAGAGGAAAGAAAGAAGGTGGAAGTGTGGGAAATAGGTTGGACGTGACTGTTAACACCTATTCATTTCTCTTCTCTTACTGTTAGCAGTCCTGTTTTCTTTGCTGTGGGCACCCTCACATCTGGTCCACTTGCCCATCCTCATCCTTTGGTATTTTTTTTTAAAAAAATCACTCTTTGATTCTTCAGAACTGAAGAGGGCTCATACTGAATTCAACTGTACCTCTTTTTTTCTGTCCACCTGCACAGATACTGCAAGATCTGCTGAGTTTCTCTTGTACTTTGTTTTTTGAATTTAAAAACTTGTGCCATTTTTGACAGTCCTTGTATATTTCTTTTCATAGTCGCTTTTTCAGCTCTTATCATTATCTTCGTTCTTTTGTATTCGTCCCATTCTCTAGGAACTATTTTTTTTTTTGTTTTCTGTTTTGTTGCCTACTACCTCTTTAGATGTCTATGCCTATCTTTTTATGGCAAGGAGAATACTTGCCTCTTAGTGCTGATTGTTTTTTGTCTGAAAATCATAAATAGGGGCAGGTCGTCCAGCACAGTGAGTGAATGTGGCCTGCCGTTCAATGAGATCGTGGCTGACCTGATTGCGATGTGGAGGTGGTGGTGTTGGGCTGGGGTGGACAAGGTCAGAAATCACATGACACCAAGTTATAGTCCAAAAGGCTTATTTGAAATCACAAGCTTTCGGAGCCTTGCTCCTCCTTCAGGTGTTAGTGATGGTATCCGACACAGAATTTATATGTAAAAGATCAAAGGGTTACACCACTGAGGATGTAGTAAACAAATCTAAGATGCTGTTTAAATCTTTAATCAGTTAGAAGGTTTCAATTAATTAACATGTAAATGTAAAATCCTGAATTGCTTTCAAGTCATCGCCCTGACAGAACTAAAGGTTTTATCAGTGTAAAGATGAGGTGACCCGCACACGCAAGCACACACCCATCCATTCGCTCACTGACCCACCCACCTGCCCACGCGCGCATGTGCATGGACCCACTCACTCACTGATGCACCCACGCACTCACTTGCTCATTCACTCGCTCTCCCGCCTGCATGTACCTGTGTGCACGCTCTCGCTCCCTCTGGTGTCAATCTACTGCGTGAATTTGTATTTGCAAATACTCTATTTTGTTCAAAAAGCACACAATTTAGAGACAGTGTGTAAATGTGGCCTTTTACAAATTCCTACTTTAGAAATAAAACCAATCTGACTCCAAACCAAAACACAAATGGATTTTAAACATGGCCTCACACCTAACATGCATTCTGGCCTAAAATGTCACCTCTTCTTTACAACGAATAACACCTGTAGTTCTCTCAGGGCACTGAGTTGAAAGAAATTTGGGGATTTACATATACATAGTAATCAATTAAATCTTTAATCAGTAAGAAGGTATTAACGTCATCTTAGGTTTGTTTAATACATAGTCATCGGTGGTGTGACCGTTTGATCTTTACTTATACCACCTCACCTGAAGGAGGAGTGAGGCTCCGAAAGCTTGTGTTTTCAAATTAACTTGTTGTTGTGTGATTTCTGACCTGATTAAGGTCTTGACACTATTTTGTTTTCCTTTTTGCTGTTATCCTTGACTTCTCTACAGATCAAAATATAGATTTATTTTTAATTTGGCCTTGAATGTGGTGTTAAACTTCAAAGGGCGCAGAAAAAATTTACGAGGATATTGCTGGGGTTTGAGTGAGAGGAAGAGGCTGAATAGGCTGGAGCTGATTCATGGAGCAGCGGAGGCTGAGGGGTGACATTTATAGGTTTATAAGATCATGAGGGGCATGGATAGAGTGAATTCCCAGGGTAGGAGAGTCCAAAACTAGAGGGCATAGGTTGAGGGGAAAGATTTGAAAGGGACCGAAGGAGTAACTTTTTCACGCAGAGGATGATGTGTGGAGTGAGTTGCGAGAAGAAGTGGTGGAGGCTGGTACCATTATAATGTTTAAAAGGTGCCTGGATGGGTACATAAATAGGAAGGGTTTACAGGGATATAGGCCAAATGCTGGCAAATGGGATTAGATTCATTTCAGGCACCTGATCAGCATGGATCAGTTGGACTGAAGGCTCTGTTCCTATGTTGCACAACTGTGACTCTATTCAGTGATCCACTGATCTATGGAAGAGAATTCAAAAGACTACCAACCCTCTAAGGGAAGGAATTCCATCCCCTCCTCACCATAAATGAGAGACCTCCTATCTTTTTAAACTCTGGCGGAAACAGCCTCTCAGCATCCAATCTGTGAAGCCCCTTCAGAATGTTCTGTTTCACTAAAATCCCCTCTTACTTTTTGTAACCCCCTTTCCTCATGAAACAGTCCAGTGAACCTTTTTTACTGAACTGCTTTCAACACAATTGTATCCTTCCACATAACTAATGTCAACTTCTTAATTTAAGAATTTGTCCAGTTTATTATTTTCAGTCACTGACTTATCTTGATGTCACCTTACTTTACCAAGATCTAAAATCTTAATTGCCAATTCCAATTTCTGCCTTTGTAAATACACTGGAATTCATTGTCGTATCATGGTCTCGAGATAATAAATGCTCATGTAATATTAGACCATAATACCAAAGGTGCAGGAGCAAAACATTCAGTAGTAGTGGGGGTGGAGAATAATGTCACTGGACCAGTAATCTAGAACCCCCAGGCTAATATTGTGGAGATATGAGTTAAAATCCTGCTATGGTAGATGATGAAAATTGATTTCAATTTTAAAAAAAGCTAGGATCATGGTGACCATGTGACCTCTGTCAATTGCTGTTAAAACCCACCTGGTTCAATAACTTCCTTTTGGGAAGTAAATAGGCCATCTTTACAAGATCTGGCTTATGTTATTTCCATACCTACAAGAATCTGCATTACTCTTAACTATCCCCTTGGCAATCTAGCCCGTCTACACACGAGCATTACTGACAAGTGGCAAGTACATTTGTACCACTTAAGTCCACCAAACGTTTCATCCCAGGTACAATTTGTGAACTCTGCATTGACTCCAATGCAAATTATATATTTTCTTTTAAATGCGACACATGTGTCAATACACGTTCTAATGTTCACAACTGTTACACGATGTTAAGTGTTTGAAGTCTGTTAGATAGTGAAAGCCATTGCAGTTGTGTGCAATACTTTCATTGCACGCACAGTGTTGAAGCAACAGGAGTAGAATACAAAGAGTTTGTCATATACTCAAAGATGCACAAATCCTGATGAATGATCTCCGAAGTGGTATTCACTTGGTATGCCAGGCATGGGCCTATCTGTGGGTGGGAACTCATTCCTGGAGGGGTTGGCATTGTGACTGTGAATATGATTTTACATAGGGATGTGAGCATTGCTGGCTGGGCCATCTCTACTTGCTCTTGAAAGTAGTGGTGAGCTGTCCTCTTCAACTGCTGCAATTAATTTGATGGAAGTAAACTTGCAATGTCATTAGGGAGTTCCAGGATTTTATTCTGTCATTCTTCGAGATGGTACTGGTGATGGGTTGAGAAGGTGCTAAGAAGCCTTGGTGAATTTCTGCAGTGAATCTTGTCGATAGTTCTGTCAGTGAGCATTGGTTGTGAATGTAGTGGCAATCGAGCAGGCTACTTTGTCCTGGATAGTGTTAAGTTGCCTGAGTGCTGGACCTGTAGTCCTTTTGAGACAGCATTCCATCACAAACATGGCTTGTGTGGACAGGACTCTGGAGGTGAGTTGTGGGATTCCCAGCCTCTGATCAGCTCTTGTAGCCACAGTACTTGTATGACTGGTTGAGTTTGGTTTCTGGTTAATGGTAAATCCCAAGATTTATGTGTGGGCGGGGGGGGTGGTTCATTGGTGGCAATTGTATGCCATTGCAAGTCAAGGCATGGAGGTCTGATTCTGTCATGTTGGAGATAATCATTGCTGTGGACTTTTATGTGGTACAAATGTACTTGCCGCTTGTCAGCCTAGATGTTGATGCTGTCCATGTCTTGCGGAATTTGGACGCCTTCATTATCTGAAGAGTTGAGAATGGTGCTGAACATTGATTGATTACACAATAGGAACATCCCCACTTCTGACCTTTTTATGGAGGCAGGGTCATTGAAGCGGCTGAAGATGGCTAGGTCTAGGACACTTTTTTACTCTTACAGCGCTATGCTGGGGCTGAGGTGAGTGACCGCTAACAACCACAATCATCTTCCTTGGAGTCAGAACTGACTCAAACCAGCGAATGCTCAAAATTAAGACTGTAGTATAATTAAAATAATTGACCTCATTTAGGGGAAGAATAGCATGTTCGTTTTCTGTAAAGACTAGCTAGTGCACTAAGCAAAGTGACTGATAGACAAAATACATGTTTTGACAGGAAATGAAAACATAGGTAAGTGATGAATTGGCAGAGTCTGCCTGATTTTGGGGCTGTCATTGATTTATGTCTATCCTGTCAGCACAGTATGTAATAATGCCAAGAAGGCTGAAATCCTCCTCTTCATAATATTAAGCTTGTAATAGGGTACTGAAGTATTCTCCAAGTGGTCAGTCAAGTTCAGTAGCCTTAAAATTGATGTGGAGGGAACTGGCTGGGAGAGAAACTGTGTAATTTTGTGGTTTCTGTGACAACTATATATATATAGGGCAAAACAGTAGGACCTCAACTTAATCCCCTTTTGAGAAATCAAGTCCAGGTCCACAAATGTAAAACCACCAATTTGATCATTGAAGTAAAATAGCAGTTGGTTAGTGATAAAGAGCAGTCATGAAAACTGAAACCCTTTCCATCACAACACCATACAATATCTAAGATCGTTTTTATGTCTTATGATAACGTAACCATAAAAGCAAGAAAGGTTTTTAACAAAAATGTTGACCATCATCGCAGATAAATTTTAATAATGATCAAGGATTTTAATTAATATTTAATATCATTACAGAAAATGTTATGGTACAGTGTTAAATGTCTGTCTTTGCTAGGAATTACCACGATTGCTGGTACACTATTATCTGTACAATATCAATCTTTATTACTGTACACTTTTTTTTAAATTGGTAAAAAGGCTGTCAGCACTTAAGGGAGCAATTTCTTTTTTCAAATGAAAGATTTCCAATTCCTGTCCAACTAGGTGGTCAGCTGAGACAGAAGGCTGCTGAGAAATTTCCCAGTCGATGGCACTGAAAGGGCAAAATACCAAACCAGTCCACTGCAGCCACTCTGCTTTTGGCACTGAGCACATGAACACAAGATACAAGATAAAGAACAAGCAAAGCTCTTTGTGAAGCAATTATGTTGCATACTAATAAGGATAATAGCTGTGTTTATCTAAGCTGGTATAAAGTAAGCAGACAGCCTTGCTAGTAGCATAAGTATCTGTATCTGAAGATGAGAGAACACAAGTTTAGCAGGCACCTACCGCTGTCTATCAAAAGCTACTGCTATTAGACCTAGCATTAAACACACAAAGCAATTGTCATGAAAGAGAAACTTTGCTCTGAGTATGATACAGAATGGATTCAATACATTATTACTCCCTCTCATTTCATTTTACTTAATCTGATTTAATTTTGAAATTAATTCAAGATGTCAACAACACTGGTCAATTTTATCCAAATCATTAAAAAGTAGCTGTGCTGTTCCATATTACAGGATACAGTCAATAATTATGTAGACATGCACCGACGCAGCTTTTGTGACGACATCATAGTCTTCCAATCACCATGACATCTACCACTTCACCCTTATGGAGCTCCACGTACTGCTCTGTCTTTGGAGGTAGCATCAACAGTCCATTGGCACTACGCATACTCATCAGACGACTACTCATCTGATTCCCTGCAGGGGCAAAAAAAAAACCTGTTTGAAAATCTTTGGCAGTGAAAGCACCATTGACAACCCAGTTTGTTAAAGAGGACTGCCACAGAATAAAGGCATCCTGAGGATTCCTTTATTTATGTAATAATGTGGGTACCATTGGTAAAGCTGGCATTTCTTGCTCTTGAACAGATTGGCTGGTTCTCTAGGCCACTTCAGTTTAGAGTCAACTTCATTGTTGTGGAGCTGGAGCCACATTAAGGCCAGGTCAGGGTAGGGATGACAGACTTCCTTTCCTAAAAAACGTTTTCTTAAAAAAAAACTGCTTCACTAATGAAAATTGACTGGTTTTTATTTTATTTAATTCAAATTAAGCCATGATAGTATTCAAACACACTTGGCCATAACTTTAACCTGGGGCTCTCAGTTATTAGCTCATTACTACTATGCCACTGCCAGATTTGCTTCTGTGGTCCCCACACTAGCTTTTGTTTATGGTGGAGCATTTCGTAATTGTACTGAACCTGCATTTTGGCTCTCTCTGGCAAGGCAGGATGCAATGAAATTGGATGTCATCAACTAAGAAGCCTCAGTGGCCTCCCTTTTGTAACAGTGAACAGTAGAATACAAGATGTTGCAAATAGTGCCTGCTTTAGCCTCAAAGAGGTGACCCACAAAAATCACTGCCACACTCAACCTCATACCTTGTTATTGAAGTGATCCTTGCGATAGTCGGAGGTTGCACCAAGTTGAAAAATTTAATGAGCATACACTAGGAGAATTGCTCCCTGAACACCCTTGCTAGATTTGGCCTCCTGTTGACAGCCCTTCTCTGAAATTCTTCAGCTTCCAGCAGATTGTCCTGCTCTCTATATTTGTTCTCCAAGTCATTCTGCATCCCAATGGGAATGCTTTCTACTGCACTCCAGTCTGCAAAGAACTGGTTTGTGCTGAAACCTTTGTAGTCAACAAAAAAAAAAATCCCTCGGCACTTGCTGCATATTTATAAATTTTTTTTTAAATAACTCTTGTACAAAACACTTGGTGAGTTGAAGTAACAGCTCAGAAAAACCCAATTTCTTCTAAAATAGCTGGCATGCATGGGCATAACTAACGAAAAATGAATCATCAACATTACTGGATAAATTGAAATGGACAAAAGCTGTACGGATACTCTAGAATAAGCAGATTCAAAATCAGAAATTGCTGGAAAAAAAACTCCGGTCTGGCAGCATCTGTGGAGAGAAAGCAGGGTTATCATTTCAGGTCCTGTGACCCTTGCTCAGAACTGAATACATCTTCTGAAGAAGAGTCATGAGATGTGAAATGTTAATACTGCTTTCCCTCCACAGATGCTGCCAGACATGCTGAGTTTTTTCGCTCTGTCTTGGATCTTGGGATCACTACAGTGCTATTACATTCTCTTGAAACTAGGAATATATTCCTAAATTATAATTACAAGTTATCATACAAGTAATTGCTTCAAAAATCTCACCAGTGCTCTGTGCCCAAGGCAATGGTTCCTGGTGGTGCCAAGTCAGAATACAGCGATGATATTCAGGCCGTGGATCGAGCTTCACATCACAGGATAACTGTAGAATGGCAACGTTGGAATGAAATATTCATTAATGCATGCATACAAGGCAGCTGGTCAAATTCAGCTGTAAATTTAATCTTTCTCCTTCCTACCTAAAACTAATTTTTAATCCAAGGGTTCCTAAGGGAAGAATATTACATTCACTGATATTCTGACACATAGATGTATTTAAATTAATGTTAGAGATAGGATATCAACCAGAGCAATACACAAAACAGTTATAGATAATAAGGGATGTAGGGAAATTATTTTTCTGAAATTAGAAACATGATTTATTTCAAAGATAAATTTGGGCTCATAAATTTGTCATTTTGTAATTGTTTTTAAAACTAATACAGTAGTGTTATCCAGCACCCCACCAACTAAAATACACCAATCAAAATCTCACATATTTCACCTTTTACCCTACGCATTACTATTCCTCTACAAAATACCAAAGTTGTCAGAGAGAAATGATGGTGAAAGGATGGTTTTAGCCTTTGCAAGTTGAAGTCTACAAAGCATGTTTTTTTGATTCCTACTGTTACCAGAAACTGCAATGGGTGGACCAATTCTCATTTAACAGTATCACCTGATTCTGGTGTGTGCCTAACTAATTTACAGACTTTGTCAGGGATGGGGTGGAAGGGAAAATTGCCATCATTTTGCTTCATGATCACTCCACACGCGTATATTTAGGATTTAAAGGTGAAGAAAAGATTTGGATTCACTGAGTTTTTACATCAATGCTGAGAAACCTATTGACAACAGAAACTTGCATGTGGTCAACAATTTTAATATAGAAAACGTCTCGGTGTTTCAGAGAGGGGCAAAAGAAAATTCCTGCCCAGCCAAATTGATAGTGAATGTTGACCAAAAAGCCAAAGAGGTGAGGATGCTGAAAGCACCACTGCCGATGTGAAAAGGGAGGTTTTGGATAAGGGGCTGTTATGATATGAAAAAGTCAAGCACAAGAAGAAGAGTTTTAAATTTGAGGCACTGCAAATCAGTTAAAATGGGTGTTGGGCAAGATGGGGAGGACCAGGACTGAAGCCCTAGGGGGAGCATTTGATACCAAGAGGGTTTAAACTGAATTGGCAGAGGGATAGGAATCTAAGATGAGAACAAAAGACAGAAACGGGAATGAGAATACTGATAGCCAAAGGAATTGAAGACCACAATAAAACAAAGTGGTCGCGAAATAAGGATCGTCGAAAAGACCATCAAGGCTCTGTGCCCAATATAAAGACCACTGAAAATAAAGTGGATGCATTAATCACACAGATGTAAATGGGGATGATTATGGAGACATGGCTGCAGGGTGACCCAGGGAGGAGAACTGAACATCCAGGGTTATTCAGCATTAAGGACCGAGGGGAGGCGGAGGGGGGGTGGGAAAAGGAAAAAGCAGTGGAGTTGCATTACTGTTATAGAGGATACAAATACAATATTGAGGAACGATATTAGTTCACTCAGTGCAAGATCTGTTTGGGTAGAACTGTGAAATACCAAGAGGCTAAATAAAATTGATGTGGTGGTATAGGGACCATCAAATTGTAGTGTTGATGTTGGGAATGGCATTAAGCAGGAAATCAAAGATGCATGCAGTAAAAGAACAGCTGTTAGTAAGGGTGATTTAATCGGCATATGGATTTGGGCAGATCAAATCAGTCACAACACCATAGAGGAGGAATTCCTACAGTGTATAGAGGATGGTGTTTTTTTTTTTTTGGACCAATATGGAGAGGAACCAACTAAAGAACAGGTAATCTTAAACTCAGTGTTATGCGTTGAGAAAGGAATATAGTGGTAAGAGACCCCTTGGAAATGAGCAACTACCAATCTTGATAAAATTCTTCATGGAGATGGAGAGTAAGGTAGTTGATTCTGAGACTAGGGTCCTGGACCTTAAGACAGACTATGATGGATTAGCAAGTGTTACTGAGAGGCATGACAGTGGATAGGCAATGGCAAACATTCAAAGAGCAAATGGGTGAATTACAAAAATCACTATTCCTGTCTGGTGCAACAGTGCTAAGAGAACAGCAGCCAAACCATGCCTTAGGATGGAAGCTAGGGATAATATTAGGTGCAAACAGAACAGACACAAGTTGGCAAGGGAAAAAAATAGACCTGAGGATTGGGAAAACTTTTGAAAGTCAGCAAAGTAGGATCAAAGGATTAAGAAGGGGGAAAAGGAGAGTAAGCTTGCAGGGAATATAAGAACTGTCTGTAAAAAGCTTCCATACGTAGATCCCTTATGTTCAAATGGGGAACAAAGAAATGGCTGACTCACTAAATTCATATTTCACGGCCTCCTTTTGAAGGCAGAATAATATACCACAAATGCTGGGAAAGACAAGGTTGAGTGAAACTGAGGCAAATTTGTATTAGTAGAGAAATGGTGTTGGAGAGGTTGATAGAACGGAAGGCTGATAACTCCCCATGACCTGATAACCTACATCCCAAAGTACTTCAGGAAGTGGCCTTAGAAGTATTGGATGCATTTGTGGTCCTCTTCTGAGATTATTGAGTGAAATGTAGTGAATACAACCCTTCTTTTCTTTTTAGAAAAAAGGGAGGTAGAGAGAAAACAGAATTATAGACTAGTGAGTTTGGTGTCAGTAATGGGGAGATGCTAGAGACCATTATCAAAGATTTTATAGCGGAGCACTTAAAACAATGGTAGAATCAGACACAGCATGGATTTACAAAAGGGAAATCCTGGTGACAAGTCTACTGGACTTGAAGTAGTAGAGTTGATCAAGGGAAGCCAATGGATGTAGTTTATTTGGACTTGAAAAAGGCTTTTGACGAAGTCCCACGTGAGAGATTAATGTGTACAATTAAAGAGCACGCAACTCGTGATAGTGTATTGAGATGGATGGAAAATTGATTAGAAGATAGGAAACAGTAGAAATTAATCTGTCTTTTTCTGAATGACAGGCCGTGAATGGTTGGGTACTACATGGATTGGTAGTAGGACTCCAGCTAGTCCCAATATGTTACTTAGATGAGATAATAATAATAATAATAATAATAATAATAATACAAAACCGCTTGGGATGGGCGAGTTGTGGGGAGGATGCAGAGATGTTTCAATGTGATTTGGACAGGCTGAGTTAGTAGGCAAATGCATGGCAGATGTAGCATAATGTGGCTAAATGTGAGGTTATAAACTTTGGTAGCAAAAACAAGAAAGTAGGTTTTGGCTGTAAATTGAGGGAGGGGAGTCCTCATGCACCAGTCACTGAAATTAAGCATGTAGGTGCAGCAGGCAGGAAAGAACGCAAACTGTACATTGGCCCTCCTAGCAAGAGAATTCAAGTACTGGAATAAGGATGTCTTGCTGCAATTAAAGAGCATCGGTGAGGCCACATCTGGAATACTGTCTGCAGTTTTGGTCTCCTCCTCTGAGGAAGGATATTCTTGCTACAGAGAGGGTGCAGTGAAGGTTTACCAAATTGAGATGAGAAATTTCTTTACCCAGACAGTGCTGAGCCTGTGGAATTCACTACCAAAGTGGTTGAGGCCAAAATCTTATATTTTGAACAAGGAGCTAGGTATAGTTCTTGTGACTAAAGAGATTGAGGGATATTGGAAGATGGGGAGCGGTGATTAGGGTATTGACCTTGATGATTAGTGTAGCGGGTTTGAAGTGTCAACTGGCCAACTCCTGCACCTTCCTTCTATGTAATGTAAGATGTGGTCAGATGAATTCTGGATGAACTAAAACTTTTATGGAAGAAAGAGGATGTATTGGTAACAAATTAAGTCTACTTAAGTCTGGAAGTGAAGGATGTTGCATATAGTTTGAGGTAACAATCAAGGCAGGTAGAGTTCTACAGCACCCTTTGGCCCTTTGAGTTTCCATCAGTCAAGAACAACAACTCTACACTCAGCCTTGTACATGTGCGTTTTTGAGGCACGTCTAACTACTTAAATGTTATGAAGGCTTCTGCCTCTATAACCCTTAAAGGCAGTGGGTTCTAAATTTCTGCTTCTGTCTGGGTGGGGGGAAAAAAAAAGTTTTCGCACATCCCCTCTAAGCCTTGTGCACCTTTAGATAAATCTATGTCCTTTGGTCATTGATCCATCCATCAAGGGAAAAAGTATCTTCTTGTCCACCCTCTCTATGTCCCTTATAATTTATACATCTCATCATGCTCCCCCTCAGTCTTCTCTGCTCCAAGGAAAAAAACTCCAGTCTACAGAATCCCTCTGAAAGATGATACAAAGGTGAAATGAGGCAGTGTTTGTAATGGAGAAGACTTAGGTTAGGAAACTTTGCTTGAGGTTGAACAGAATGCATAAATTGCAAATCTGGTTCAACCTGAAACAATGGCCATGTTCAAATAGAAACATTGTGGGCACACCGTTTATGGCAGGAAGTGGGGACAATTTTTTTGATTTATTATTGTCACGTAGATACAGTGAAAAGCTTTATTTGTGTGGTATCCAGACAAATCATATGTTACAAAAGTACATGAGGGTAAATAGAATGGAATACAGAATATAACGATACAGCTACAGAGAAAGATCAACTCTAATATGAGGGGTTGGTTTGTAATTCTCATAACAGTGGGGAAGAAGCTGAACTTGAATCTGGTATGTGTTTTCAAACTTCGTATCTTCTACCTGATGGAAGAGAGTATAACCAGGGTGGGAGGGGTCTTTGATTATGTTGACTGCTTTCCTGAGCCAGTGGAAAGTATAGAAGTCGACAGTTCAGCTTTCTAAAGCTTCAAATAGAGATTGAAATTTGTTTAACATTGATAGCGTGGAGTTTGTGTATGGGTGAAGAAAGATGGTTGAGAAATAGAACTGCGTGCCGTTGGCATACGGTGAAATGTCCCTGCATGATGGTGACAAATGAAACCATATACGTAAACATGAGAAGGGGACCAAGGATAGATTCAGCTGTGACTGGATTGGTAGCAGTGAAACAAAGCTAGGGCAGTTTTACTTAACTGAACAACGGAATAAAGGTGTTGATAAACACTGACCATGTTTGTTGTAGTCCAACAGGTTTATTTGAAATCACCAAGCTTTTGGAGCATAGCCCCTTTATCAGGTGCACCTGACAAAGGACAGTACTCCGAAAGCTTGTGATTTCAAATAAACCTGTTGGTCTATGAACTGGTGTCGTGTGATTTTTGACTTTGTCCATCCCAGTCCAACTCCAGCACCTCCATGTCATTTTAGTTGTGAGCAAGGATGCAAAGAAGGTGGGGGAGGGACATTGCACAATGGCTACAGTCAAAGGAAATAATAGTAACCAGGGTTAGGTTAGGGAAGAGAATCATTCTCAAAATTGGTGAGAGGGAAAAAACAAGAATGAATAAATGTTTTGGGCAAAAATGACTTATTTTGACCAAGTTGTATGTATAAAAGTATTAAACTTCATTTTCATGAGAATATGTTCTGAGAACAGACATAAGCATAATTTCAATGATTTGGATTCTACAGGACCATTCTCAAGAGGTAGGAAAAGTCAGGTAAATACAAATACAAAAGCAGCATAAGCATAATAGTTAGTTTAGAGCCAACATGTATCACTGCAAAATTGTGCTGTTGTCAATTATACAAACGTCAATACTTGCATTCTATCGGAAATGAAGTGTTTCAGGTTAGACGTGACCATCAACTGGAATGGTCACATCAGACAATCACAACTATGTCAGAACTGAAATGTTTAGAACAACTCAGGGCTGAGTGGTGAACTTGTAAAAGTTTATGAAATCATGAGTGGCATGGCTAGGGTGAAAGGCCGAGGCCTTTACTCAAGGGTAGGGGAAAGATTTAAAAGCGACCTAAGGAACAACTTTTTCATGAAGAGGGTGGTGCCTGTATAGAATGAACTACGAGAGGAAGTTTGTGGAGGCAGGTACAATGACAACATCTGGGTATATGAATACCAAAGGATTTAAAAGGGATATGGGCCAAATGCTGGCAAACGGGACTAGATTAATTTAGGATACCTGATCAGCACGGATGAGTTGGACCCAAGGGTCTGTTTCCATGCTGTACATCTTTCACTCTATAACTGACGATGTCTATCATGATGTATAAACTGGGTCACTTTCTACAATTTTTGGTTTTTGTGCTGCAAGCTTACCTGTATTGGTTAGTCATACGCCAGTGCCGATCCTGCTACAAGAAGTGTATAATTGTGCTTTAAAATCAACAAGTTGATTATTTTGATTGTCTGAACCTATGTACCTTAGCTTGATCTACTTGGTTGATTTTAATAAAGGGAGGATATATTAGTGCTGGAGAATGGTTAGTGGGAGGAAAAAAGCTCTTATGTTGTTGCAACAAAGTGCAATGCTTCTGCTTTCCATATTTGCAGTGCTGGTACTTTTTATAAGATTGAGAGTTAATACTTTGTTTTGAGCAATTAGTTGGCGGTGAGACCATGTTCACCAGGGAGTGAATAACAGTCTATCTCACTGTGCCATTAAGCATTTTTAAATTGTTAAAATCATAATAAACTGTCAGAAAACTATTTGACTTACCCTGGCTTTGATGATGGTGGGTCGAGGATCAAGGATTCCCTGCATTTTCCTCAGCGCGGGGATTACAAAGAGATTGCAGGTAACAACTGCTGACACTGGATTTCCTGCAGGGAAATCATATGGGCATGAAATAACTGTGCCAGATTACAAACAACTAACTGTGTGCCATGCAAGAGAATCATGCCTGGAACCAAGCAGGCAACTGCTCCAACTCCAAAAATAAATTTAAAGGTACAGTTTGAGAACTAATTTTCTCTGCTCTTCATTTCCGAGTATTTTCTTAGCGCTACCCTGTTCTTTTGCTGTGGTGATTGCAGCTGAAATAGTTCCCGCAGTGCCAATGATACACGTGACTTGTCATTTCACGACAGATCATCCCTGACTCTGTGTGACATGTAAGAAGTAGCTATCGGGAAGATAAGCAGCCCAATGGTGTGAAGCTTCCATTCTGGACTGCAGAAGGTAATTCCCACTGTAAGACTTTTTTTAATGCCCTGGCTGGAAAGGTCCATTTCAGAGCATTTACTCTACTGAACTGGCTTCTCTTGATGTTCAGAGCATGGGCATATTTGGAGTTAACTCAAAAGCCTTGGCTTGGATCAAAAGAAAACTTCAAATGGATTCAAAATTGCCTCCGCTCAACGAGGCACAATGAAGAAACTAAAACAAGAAAATTAGATCAATGCATTATTATTATTGTACTTGACAACTGCAAGGCATGTCCTTACAAGTTTATGCTACAATTGGAGCAGCTGTTTTGTTGTGTAGCTGTAACACAAATTTAGATACAATTGATGAAACTAAAAGAAATCGCTGGGCATCACACAAGCAATAGAACACCCAAGATTTCCTTTTGTCAATAATTAAAAACTATCACTGTGAATCACCACAGTGGGAAGTGAATTTATGAAGTGATTTTTGCAAACGAAAGTAATAATTTGAATAAGAAGCAAATTAGTTCAATCCAGCTTCAGCACTACCCATACTGAAGTTCACAACATCAAAAAGCATTCACTGAACAACACAGGCCATTATATGTTAAATGTGACACCAAGTTTTTAAGTACAGAACATGCATGTTTCAGAATTGCTGTTCGTTTACAATAGCGATTTTAATCATATGATGGTCAAGTGTAGAACAAAACATTATATCAATGCTGATTTAATTCTTTGAGTAGATCATGTGAATTGAGGAATCGATTACACACGAAACACATAGCAAGAAGCCTTTTCAGAAACATTTATAATGATCAAACAGAGCTTACATTCTTATATTTAAAATCTTCAAGTTATTTTAGTTGGAGAAACTGCTCTTTTCACACAATTAACAGATGGTAATGTTTATTTCAATTTTGCATCAGAAGGCCAATGAACTTATTAATTTATATTTCTGAAAGTATTTTCCAATGCATCAACATTAAACATTAACTTGAATTCTGTTCACACAACAATTGCTTTTCTGTAGTAAAATTATAATTGATCTCCAGCCAGAGTAAGTGAAGATAGTGGGAATAATTACAAATGCAATTGTCCAATGACAAATAAACGTGTACAAATCTGAAAAGCACCCAAATTTCACTTTCCGTTTATTTTAACACCAAAAAAGGTCTTATTCTGCTTCCTCAAAAAAATGCATGTACCTTGCCCACGTCTTCCTGCTTGCAAACTGCCTCAATATTACATGGGCTAACTCCCAGGGACAAACATTTATCCCGGGAGGGGAAGGGAAGAAGTTCTCTCGTATTCCAATCCACTTCCCGAGTGTTTCCTCCTGGCTCAACCAAACTTACCTAATCCTGCACCTCCACAATCTCTACAACTCTTCACAACGTGACCCTACTCAGTAAGAAAGGAGGGAGACAGAAAATGAGGAACTGCAGCCCTGTTAACCTGAAATCAGTGGGAGTGAAGATATGACTATTATAAAGATGTGATTACCAGATGGTTAGAAAATGATTGACTGTGCCCAATTAGACAATGTCACTTTGTGGGAGAGAGATTTTGTTTCACAAACCTGTTATAATTTCATGGTGTAGTATACAGAGTTAATAAGGGAGAACCAGTCAGTGTTGTATTTGATAAAGTTGCACACAGAACACAAAGCATATGGGATTTGGGGTAACACATGAACATGGATTGAGGATCAGTTGACTAGGAGAAATCAGGATAGGACAAATTGAGACGTTTTCAGGTTGGCAGACTACGACGAATAGGTTAGCACTAGGATCGGTGACTACTGCCAGCTGTTCTCCATGCATATCAATGATTTGGATGTGGGGCTAAATACAATATTTCCAAGCTTTTGGATGGCACAAAACCTGGTTGGAATATCAATTATAAGGAGGATGCAAAGGGGTTCCGAGGAGATTGAGACAGACTCCAGTGAGGGAGAAGAGCTTGGTAGTTGTAATATAAATTGGATAAGTGTGAGGTTATCCACTTTGGTAGGAGAAATGGTGAGACTGGCATTCTTGTCAATACGTCAGTGAAAGCTAACATGCTTTTGCAAGAAGATTTGAACATAGGAGCACAGAAATCTTGCTTGAAATGTCCACAACATTGGTTAGACAGCACCTGGAGTACAGTCCCCTTGCCTAGGAAGGGTACGCTTTCCAGAAAAGGACTGCAGTGGAGGTTCAACAGACTGAGCCTGTATTCTTGAGATCAGAAAAATGAGAGACTATTTCATAAAAATTATAAAATTCTTATTGGGCATAGATGGTGTGATTGTAGAAAGTGCATTCTCCTTTAGCTGTGGGGTCTACAACCAGGGAGACTCGAGCCATTTAGGACTGAGATGAGGAATTTCTTCAGATGATGGTGAAAATTCTCTATTCCAGAGTGGTGTGGAAATTCAGTCATTAAGTTCAAGACAGATTGTGAGATTCCTAGTCCATGTCAAGGGATATCATGGGAATGTCACTTTGAGGTAGATAATTAGCATGCTCTCAAATGATTGATAAGGCTCAAGGAATAGTGTGATCTACTCCCCATTCCGCTTCTCTCTGCACCAACCATATTTATTCCCATGCCTGTGCTCATCCTTCCTTCTCTCTGGTCCCTGGCTTTGACCTTGTGCTCAGTCTGCCAAGCAGGATGTTGGGAGATCCAATTTTCATGTCCATAGTTCATTAACGCTCTCCATCCCTGCAAAAATCAGGGTCCAAGTCTACTAAAGTTGTTCTATAATGAGGATATAAGGGGTATAGATAACCACCATGGTGTCCTGTTAACAGCATTGTGGGCAATTTAAGGAAGAGTACCACATAACAGCCATGCCAGTAGTGCCCAAACCCTGTGAAAGAATTAAAGGAAAACAACATCTTGTGCCTCTCCCTCATGGTATATTCCAAAATTATATCTCCAGAACCAAGCTGGCCCACTGTAATACATGTCAAAGAATAGTAAAACTTTCATTTAAAAGGTTGATGTTATTTTATCTTTCAGAAGAATTAATGTCTTTCAAAGAAACAGAATCTTACTTTCAACTCAGTTGATTCTTGTGAAGACCTTTTGGATGTTTAAAACTCGAGGTAGGGCAGGTAGACCCTAAACAAAACTGTGTACCTTTTGCACCAAGTGAACAAAAGAATCGGAGTTCACTTATTGAGCTACCAGTGGCCAACTGTATGTTCCTCTCTGCACTGAAGCTCAAATGCAATGTCTACTCGCCATCTGTCCAGCCAGAACTCCAAATTGTGATTCGGTCCGAGTGAAAGTTTTATAGGGAGAAGTGATAATGTTATGCAAACCCTTTAAAATTGAAGCAGTAATGTGTACATTTGCATGAAAGATAATTTTGTCCAGTTTTCATTCTTGCAGATTGTGCTCTTGCTTAAAGTAACACCTGCATCCTATTCACTTGAATGGACTGAGTACAGGAGCAAACAGATTTTTATGCACCTAACATTCAGGGAGGGGTGTACTGGACTGCGTCACTTTGGAAAGGGGAATGTTGTGGTATGCCTCATTGGTTGGATTTTTCTGTACGCTCTTCGAATGCAAAATATTTTTAAGCTCAAACTTGCTGCATGTGTGGGCTGTTAAAGATGCCACGAGGCCTAGGGAAGGTCTGGAGTCTTGATGAGGTGCAACAGTTGCAGTCTACTATTTTAACCAATGAATTTAAGGATTGAGACAGAAACAAAGATGACTGAAGGTGATCAGATACTAAATAGGCACTGAAAGAAAGCCTAGGTTGAGAGGGAGGTGAAGGCTATAAAATGTTAAATTTGACAAGAACAATTTGCCACCAGAGAAATGAGACTCCAGTTTCAACTATTCACTTTCCAGGCCAGAGAGGTTGAGTGACACTGTTAACAATATCAAACAGTTAAGTGTCTGGACCAGATAACTTATACATGAGGTTTGTAGCTAAGCATAATTTTCAGTGGTGAGATTAATTCATAATTAACATGTGAAATCAGCAAATTCTTAAAAATAACACGGAAACCTAGGATGCCATTTGTGTGGCACAAACTGTGAGAAGTTTTTAATTGACCAGTGAGTTCTGGAGTCTCACAGCTGTATTTTATTTCCTAATCCTCTGAATCTGCGTGCCAAGTTAGCAAATAATAACTATGCATGTTGTTCACAAACCATTATTCCATTGATAAACACCTAATAAAACACTCAGTAGGAGAATTCTCTAACATTAGCATGACTATATTTACACATACCTCATTGAATTCTGATTTTACCATAATTTTAATGTCAGTATTGACAACCTGGAGACAAGTTGCCATTGTCAACCCCAAGATACTGAAGAAACAGTTGCTGTGTGAAAGAGGTTTTACTATCTACTTTGGACTCATTCACCTTGCTTTGAAGTATTGCAAAATGTTAATTATTCTGTATTAGCATCTATCAACTCAATGTTTGAAATGTCAAACATTAAATGCCATGATGCAATGTCTTGTCCTACAAGAATTTTAGTCATTCAAAAATTAGGCCCAATTGCTTTTGATCAGACACTTTCCAGAGCCACAAGATTCTGAAGTTTATACTTTTTAAATACTTCTTGCAAAGGCTGAAAAATATTTCATTTTCACAAAGTAATAAAATAAAACTCAATGATGGGCAGACAGCTCATTGATCATTGTAGGCTCCTTCCATTGAGAGTTAGTGGTATAAAATGCTCGAACATATGGAAGAAACTACATAACCTGGGCTGATCTGGCAACAGGGATCAATGTTTGAAACTCAAGAGTTGCCCTATAATTTGACTGCATCATAATAGTTATGGAACTAATACAGTTCAGATATAAGGGGCCTTATTAAACATTGAACCCTTCCATGTGCATGATTCAAGTTTTTCAGTTGATGTTTATTCCAATTTCCAATTAGGAAAAAAAAAATCAGCAAAATACCAACACTTTAAAAGTAAAACAAAAGGGAAGATTTGTCATATTTACTCATTTTGATTTTTTTTTTGGGGGCCACAAACATCAATTGCCTACAACAGGTTAGGCAGATGCTCATTTTGCAGCTTTTGGCTCTAGTGCTTTCTGCTAGTCTATTGAGAGTCTAAAAGGTGACTTGGCAAATCATTTCCCTTCTCTCCCTCTGAAGAAGTGTCTAGACTCCATTGAGAGCATCTTACCTGAGACTGACCAAGATGAACATGTCAACAATCATCAGATGACATCAATTTTTTTTAATTAACTTGTGTATAGAACAATTGCCAACAGATACAGGTGGACCAAATTAGTTTCCTTGTTGGCAGTAGATCTGTGTTGAAAATGTTTTACCATATAATGATGATCAAATAAAATTTTATGCCTGCAAAGCAGATGATATTTGAACAATACGGCCACACTCCACCGTGTACAGCCATGGTATTTTTTCCACAATAAATTACGGGAGAAAATAATTATTCAAGTCCTTGGTATAGATACAAGTGGAAAGTTGGCATAATTTAAGTCTGTTAGATAACCCCTGGTAATCTATCACTTAAAATGCTACATCTGGTGACAGCCCCAGGGGTACGTTACATTCATGTATTCATACTCCTATACCACAGAATGGTTGGAATCAAGTTTGCAGATCTGGTTCTGTGCACGTGATGTGTTTCCAAACTCAGGTGGAGCCAATTGAGAAACAGGCAGATGGAGGGCAGACAAATTCTCCAAGGGAGGGCCGGAAATTCTAACAACAAGTCAAATTATGTTGTGCTCCCACTAACTAGCTCAAAGCCAAATAGGTTGAGGCTCAAATGTATGTTGCACAGCATCAAGCAACCTGGGGTCAGGGCAGATGGTAAAAATGGATGGACTGGCAAAACTAGGCTAGCAAAGAATTACTGGCTATAATATATACTGAATAGTTTATTTAGTGGTAATTTTTTGCCACAAAAGAAAGCTTGTGATACTGTAATACCCATCATTTGATGCCATATACCTTCAGATCCTACGTCACCATCAGCCTCTACCGCGCCCGCTGCATAACGGTAAAAAAAAGTTAAAAACGAATGTTATTTTCAAATAAACTATTCAATATATATTACAATCAATTAACAAATAGCTTGCGGTGACTTTAAAGGCTTCAATTCAATCTTGGGGGTTCTGCTGATGCTTTTAAGTCACTGTCACTTTTTTTTTGCAATTCATGGCATCAGCTCTGCTCAACTGAATTGCAGCCTCATCATTCATTGCCAGCTATGTATTATCCTACACACAAAGTATATTAAAATGTTACAGTTTTGTTTTTGCCAAAGTATTTATTACTATCAAACCACTGCATAATACTAGAAATAAATCTTAACGTTAAAATCCAGATTATAAATTGTGTGAACTCACTGTTTCCCACAATTTTTAGTTAGCACAGTTGTGAAAAAAAAAATTGATGCTACATTCCTGGTGCTGCAGTTCCATTACACGTACATAAGTGTGCTGGACATGCAAAATGGATTAGGTTGACAAAGTATAGAAACATCGGAGTTAAGACTGACTTTGATTTGCAAGTGAAGAAAACAAACAGGTGACTAAGTAGACATTCTTCCACTTGAGAGCATGTCACTGAAACAGCCATGTTTGAAAAAATGAAATAGAAATCAAAAGCAAAGCTTTCAGTTAGTTTGATGATAAACATTGCATAAAGTAATACAACTTGAAGAATGACATGACACAATTATGACACAGATCATGTCATCTTAAATTGTGCATTTATGAAGTGTTGAAATAAAAGCTGGTAGGTCATCAAGTATGATACAATGAGCTTGTTTTTATGCTATCCAAGTACGTTATTCCTAGAAATGAGATAATTTAGGGAAGGGCGGTGCCATACCTTGACAGGTCCCACAAGCTGGTAGGGATTCTAAACGTCAGCACTGTACATGATCTCAAGCATGCTATCATTAAACAACATTTCATGAATCAAAACTTCAAACTTATAACCCAGATTTTCTTCTAACCTAAACAAATAAAACGAAACCACAACATTTAAATAAGATTACATAGATATACAGGACTCTGACTGCTCAAGCTGTTACAATGAAAAAGTGATGTTTTTGAATGAATTTAAACCAGTTCAGCATTATAAAGCAAATAATCTACACAAAGAATAACAGCCTTTGAAATATATCAACTGCCCAAGACTGATCTGTGGAACGAGAACACATGAGAATACGGCTGCAAATATTACATGAAATCACCAATAAATTTACAGGGAACATCATTAATGTGTCTTACCTTAGAATTATGATCATTTTAAAATCTAGTGTTAGTTACTATGTCTAACTGTTTAACGGGATTCTGCTGAACGAGTAATATGTCTGTTACCTGGCAGTGCAAAGATGATTTTTCTGATGCCATCGATATCCAAAGTTGCAAAGGTTGTTGGGAGGCTGTGGATGGAAGGATAGATACTTAATATCCTGCTTTGGCTGAAAGCCAGGCGGATGGTTCATTTCAAATATTTTCATTACTTTTAAATTTCTGATCTTTGAAGTATCCAACTGCAATTCTACAAAACATACAAACAGGATAGAGTATTCTGCAGAGATAGCAGGAACTGCAGATGCTGGAGAATCCGAGACAACAAGGTGCAGAGCTGGATGAACACACCAGGCCAAGCAGCAGCATAGGAGCAGAAAGGCTGCTCCACTAGATTATTCTGCGATCAATTAGGTTATGGCTGAATTGGATCTTAACTCATTGTGCAAATGCAATCAGTGAAAATTCTGTTGTACTCAAAAGTCTACATGAAACATTGATATTCTGTGACTAGATTTTCTAGAATTAAACATCAAAATCCTCAAAATATTATCATTCTCACCCAAGGGAGAGAGAGAAGAAAGTTTCTCTTCAGCTGGTTTTTGGAGACTGAATTAACAGATTTAACAGGGACTTGAACACTCTTTCCAACCTTCCTGATCTGTGAATAGCTCAAGAGGTTTAAAAAAAAACCAGATTGAAGCAGAATAATAAATTAAAGCAAACTAACCAGTTAACTTGTATAGATTCATAGTCATACGGCACAGAAACAGACCCTTTCGGTCCAATCAGTCCATGCCAAACATAATCCCAAACTAAACTAGTCCCAGCTGCTCACTCCTGGTCCATATCCCTCTAAACATTTCCGATTCATGTACTTATCCAAGTATCTTTTAAACGATGTAATCGTGCCCAACATCCACCACTTCCTCAGGAAGGTCATTCCACAAAGAACCATCCTCTGTTTTTAAAAAAAAAAAAATTGCCCCTCGTGTCTTTTTTTTTCACATCTCTCTCCTCTCACCTTAAAAGATGTGCCCCCAGTCAGCTGAAGCTAAAGACTATTGTTCAACTGCTCTCATCCATTCACGAACAGAAATAATCTTCTACAGCTGGCATGATGGCATTGTCACACTGTTAATGCAGCGACCCAGGGAATGCTCTGGGGACCCGGGTTCGAATCCCATTATGACAGATAACAGAATTTGATTTGAATTCAATTTAAAAAAAAAAAAAAATCTGTAATTAAGAATCTAATGATGACCATGAATCCATTGTCGATTGTTGGGGGGAGAAAACCCATCTGGTTCACTAACTTCCTTTAGGGAAGGAAGCCTTACCTGGTCTGGACTACATATGACTCCAGACCCACAGCAATGTGGTTGATTCTTAACTGCCCTCTGGGCAATTAGGGATGGGCAATAAACACTGGTCTAGCCAGTGCTGCCTTCATCATGTAAGTGAATAAGTGAATAAAAAAACTAGGCCTCCATAGTGTCTACAGTGCTATGCTGTTGTAGGCAACAAGCTTAAATGGTGTCCTTAACTGTGTATTCATTATGACAGAAAACTGTTGATTTGTCATGATACTGTGATAACCCTTGCTCAATAAAATGAAACCTAAATTTGCTGCCTTTTGAAAATCTCCACTAACCTCCACTCACTTTAAAATTTTTACAACAGTGTAATTTCTTAAGTCAGGAGAGATGGTGAGCTGTTAGCTTTCATGATTCAGGGTATTGAGCAGTTACTAATATAATTCATTACAAATACAATCACATCTCTCTTCATAAACAAATATTTAATTTTCTATATCATCATGGGGTGGGGGCCTGCAAAGAGGAGGGGTTTGGTCAGGACAGAAAGGGGAGAAGTGAGAGGCTACAAGGGAGCGGGTTTGATTGGGAGAAGCCAGTGATTGCAAAGGAGAAAAAGGGATTGGGGTTAAGTAAGTGGTGCAAAGGGGACAAGAGAAATAGCCAGTGGTTGTAAAGAGGGGGTGGGAGGAAAGCTAACAAGAGGAACCTATCAACAAAAGAGCTAGCTACTGGTAGGCAGGAAAGCTCAAAATCACAGGTAATGAATTCCTTGCAATTTTTATGTTGAATGTTGGTTATTGAATAAAAGCACTTCTGTTGCTCACTTAGTGTCTGCTGCCAGCTTATATACTGTAGTGTCCCCGGCTGTGTACTCAGATCACATGTGGACCAGCTGGTGAGAGTATTCACTGACATCTTTAACCTCTCCTTACTTTGATCCAAAGTCTCCACCCGCTTCAAGAAGACCACCATCATCCAAATGCCAAAGAAAAATCATGCAGCATGCCTCACTGATTACTGCCTGGTGGCTCTGACCTCCGTAATTATTAAGCGCTTTGAGAGGTTAGTCATGGCTCACATCAACCCCAGCCTACCAGATTACCCGATCCTTTGCAATCCACCTACTGGCGCAACAGGTCCACGCCGGACACCATCTCCCTAGCCCTACACTCACCCCTAGAACACCTGGATAATAAGGACCTATATCGGGCTCCTGCTTATTGACCCCAGCTCTGTCTTCAACACCATAATTCCAACAAACTAATGACCAAACTTCAAGACTTAGGTGTCATCTTCCCCCTCTGTAACTGGATCCTTGACTTCCTGACCCGTAGATCACTATCAGTTAGAATTGGCAACAATACCTCCTGCACAACGATCCGGAACATCAATGCCCCGCAAGGCTGTGTACGCAGCCTCCTACTGTACTCATTATATACTCACGACTTTGTGGCCAAATTCCATCTCAACTCCGTTTACAAGTTTGCTGACAACACGACCATTGTAGGTCGATCTCAAATACCAATGGCACAGAGTACGGGGAAGAGATTGAGTGATTAGCAGCATGGTGTAAAGACAACAAACTCTCCATCAATGTAAGCAAAATGAAGGACCTGGTCATTGACTTCAGAAAACGGAGTGGAGGGCATGCCACTGTCTGCATCAATGGTGCCAAGGTGGAGATGGTCCAGAGCGTCAGGTTCCTGAGAGTGATGAATACCAACAATCTGACCTGGTCCACCCATGTCAATGCGATGGTCAAGAAAGCATAACAATATTGCTACTTCCTCAGGAGGCTAAGGAAATTCAGCAAGTCCACAAAGACTCTGAGCAATTTTTACAGATGCACCATAGAAAGAAACTACCGAGTCGTGAACACAGCCCAGTCCGTCAAACAAACCAGCCTTCCAGCCATTGACTCCGTCTATACTTCCCACAGCCTTGGGAAAGCAATCAAAATATCAAAGACCCCTCCAATTCCAATTATACTCTCTTCCATCAAGCAGGAGATATAAAGTACGAACAGATTCAATAACAGCTTTGGACCACTGGGTTTCAAACATGTTTGGTTGATGTTAAGATCATGGGGAGCATGAGTTTGCATTGCACCAATTAAATATTTAGGAGCCTTTGATTTTGATGGCAGCTGCCAAAATCGGAGTAAACAAGGAAATGTTGCCCCTTGTGGCAGATTCAATAGTGACTTATAAAGGGTCAACAGATTGAATACTTGGAGGCTATAGGGAAAGAGCAGTGGAATGAGATTAATTAAATAACTCTGACAATAATTCTGTCAAATAAAAAGCCATTAGTCCTGTGACAGCTCAACCAACCTTGTATTGATTGTGCACCCTGGCTAAAAATGGTGAGATATGATCTTAACATCAACCAAACATATTTGAAACCCACAAATCAAGACAGATAATTATTTTAGGCAGACAATTTAAAAACTCCTATTGAGTCATGGGATTTAACAGCCGTGAAAGGTAGGAACAGGACACATTCACCGTATTGAGTACGAAACACAAAGTGAATGGCAATGAGGTAACAGAAACAAACTCAGGATCAGTTGTCAATGGTGAATTTCTTTAAAAGAACTTTTCCTCCCAAGTTAAACACAGAATAGTGAGAGACCTGGGAATAAGCAATCTTAAAAACAATGAATGAATAATAGCAAGGAACCTGGCATACTCTTGGATAATGAAGCATTGGACTTTTTTTTAATGAAGTGTATTTTATTGTAATCAACTTTAATGAGATTAGTTTCACCATGATAATGAGCCATATTCCGCAAATGGCATGAAGTATTTATGCTGTGTGATTCAGACACTGAAATTCTTGTCAAGAGAACAGCTGAGTCCTACTGTTTACTTATCTCATTCTTTTTAAATGTTACACAATGTATCAAGATGCCTATTTCACAATAAGTTTGGAATGAAAGAGAAAAGCATCACAGAGAATGAGAATCTTTTATAAAGGCCATCTCTTTATGCAAATGCTGCACCTCATTGTAAATAAAGGATAGAACATAAAAGTTAAGCTTTATCTCAATATGATGTGCTCTTTTAAAGCATTTTTTTAGATACCACGAGTGGAATTTTTACTCTCTTGTGTGGTGTGAGGAAGGTGCGAAGAATGCAAAAATCAGAATTGCTATATTAAGAAAATGTGATTTTACCTTCAAACATTAAATGTGACTTCAGATACTCACCATTGAGTGCGACTACTTCATCTCAAAGCTCCAACTCACCTTTTATCTTATGCCACTTCCAATTATCCTCTCTCTTCTGAGAAACTAGACAGTGCAAATTTCCAACGTGTAAACCAGAGCAGAAACTTGGTGATGGCAGCTCACCGAGTGCTTTTTCTGGTCGTCACGTAACTGATTGTTTAGCTCAATGTCAGTGCATGCTCTGTGGCTACCATCGTCCTCAATCCATTGCCATTGCAAGTCAAGGTATAGGCAAACCACAAGCTTCACCACATCATCATGTTTGCTCTCAGAGCAACTCATGCACTGCTTTAAGCCCTGAACACTTCACTTTGGAACTCAGGGACATTTGTGACTCATGTGCCTCTACCACATGGCTTTGCATTGCAGGGGACAGTCAGGATGCTCTCTTAGCACTCATTCACTTTGGACTTATTTGAAAACTGCCAGCCTCTGCATATTTTACTCTGCTTTTTCACTGACATGAAAACTCTCTAACTTCAGCACTGATTTACAGACTGTTGGTCTGTGTGGTTCACGTTGCTTTCTTGCTGTATATGGTCTTCAGTGCTAAGTTGCAGGCTGCCAGCCTCTGTGGCTTGCATTAATTTGTTCAGCACAGAGGAAGAGGCAGGCATCTTGTCACAGTGGGGAGCACTGAACTGTCAAAAGGACGTGCTGTGTGGCACTGTACTGCAACAATGTCATACCTGCAGCATATTCCTGCACTCTACTTGCCATGTGAGATAAAAAGTTAACTCCATAATAACTGCACAAAATGGCTGACAGCATGTGCAAAGTAGGTGGAGTCAGTTTTTTTTTCTTCAGGGGAAAAGTAAACCTTTTGAAATTCAGGCACTGCTAGGGGCAATTCCAGGAATCATGCCTGCACTGATTTGGTAATGCCAACTAGCTTCAAATTGCACTTCGTCAGCATGTCAATTAGGTGGAGAGGGGGTTTGGGTTTGCTTGGGGGCAGGGAAGTTGTGGGCAGTTGGTGTTGGGTTTGCGGCTAGGGGAGTGCAGGTTTACAAACCAAAAGGATAGGTCAACTATAGAGGGCACCTTTTTGGATAAAGACACCCAGAGTGGGACACGAAGAGACAGAATGTACAGACATAGAAAAAACAGCAGCAAATAGAATCAAAGGCGGAGGAAAATGGTGGAGGTTAAGAAGGCAAAATTAATGCTTTCGAATGCACAAAGTATTCGGAACAAAATAAATGAATTGACTCTGCTTGAGCCCATACATTGTAGGCAGGGTCAGTGCAGTATCGCAGGTGAAACACAAGGTGCAGTCGTGCAGAAAGAAGGGCCGTGATCTTTCACACTCCGCAAGGGTAAGTGCCACTACCTTCTCTGTGCTACCTCGCTCTAACACTGTCACAGCACACGCCTTTCACAAAGGCTAATAGACTTGATTTTCACTTTTGCCCATATCGTGTCCACTCAATGGCTTCTGTCCGTCTAACGCTCCCAAGTGACTAAATCTTACTGCCTTCTGTGCTTCCTCCTCAGTCTCTGAGAATACCTGAGCACCCTTCTTGCTCCTGCAAAGCCACTTCACTTCACTTCACTTCACTTCCACAATTCTCACTTCACTTTGGTTTCATTTGGTAGGGGTAGGGCTACAATGTAGGTGGTGGTATTGGATATCAGGTGCATTGCTCTTTCTAAGGAGAAAATTTTCAATTCAGCTTAGCTGGAACCTCAACTTTATTACAATTTATAGCAAAGACTAAATAGAGCTGCAAAGGCATCGTTGCTAAAGTCATAGATGACACTGAGATAGCCAGTGAAACAGGTGTAAGGAAGTTGCAGACAGATCTCCAGAGGTTGAATGACTGGACAAAAAAAATTAACAGATGGGGTATAATATAGGAAAATGTGAAGTTGTTCACTTTGTCAGGAAGAATATAAAAGCAAAGTGTTACTCAAATGAAGAATGACTACAGAACACTCAAGCTCTGGACTAGCAAATAACTACTTGTATACTCAATGGTATGGAAAATTTTGCAGATTACTCTACTCTAAAATTGTGATTAAAAATGCCGACTTAGGACTGTTACTAGAAAGCACTCCTTCACATGCACAAACAAACAAGTCAACAAATGGAACAGACTCCAAGAAAGAATATGGAGCCGAAACCTCCCAAAATCACTTAATAATTACTGAATGCCATAATGGGGAACTTTAATGCCTTTTTGATGGATAAACTGAGAAATGTCAAATGGCAGTCCTCACCCATAATGACTCTGTGATCCTGAGTCTTGCCTATTCGTGCAATGGCATGGTGAGTACATTAAAGCACTGTCAACAGACAGCATTTTACAAATTTTTTTTTTCAGCAAGAAGAGATGAAAAGTTCACATTCAATACTGTATCATTCTCTGAAGCTACTGTCTGGAGAAGAAACTATTTCATACATAAAGAGATGGTAACTTACTGGGCCAAGAAATACAATTGACTTGCCTATGCCAGTGCTAGGCAGTGACCATCTCCACAGGAGAGAATCTAACCACCTCCCGTGACACCTAAAGGCATTATTAACAATGAATTCCCCCAATATTAAGATCCTGGGGGTTACCAGAACTGGACTAGCCACATAAATACATTGGCTACAAAAGCAGGTCAGAGGCTAGGAATCCTAGAGCAAGTAGCTCACCTCCGGACTTCTCCGAGCCTGTTCACCAAATAAAAAGCACAAGTCAGGAATATGATGGAATACTGCCTACTTGTCTGGATGTGTGCAGCTCCAAAAACACTCAAGAAGCTTGACACCATCCAGGACAAAGCAGCCTGCTCGGTTGGCACCACATCTAAAAACATTTACTCTCTCCACCACCAAAGCTGTAGTGTGTACCATCTATAAGATGCATTGCAGAAATTCAATGAGGCTCATCAGAGAGCACCTTCCAAACCCATGACCACTACCATCTAGAAAGACAATCAGGATGGCAAATACACGGGAACACTGCTGCCTTCAAGTGCCCCTCCAAGCCACTCACTATTCTGACTTGGAAATATATCCGCTTTCCTTCACTGTTGCTGGGTTAAACTCCTAGAACAGCCTCCCTAATGGTATTGCAGGTGTACCCACACCAAATTTGTTGTGGGTCAAGAATGCAGCTCACCAACACCTTCTCAAGGGTAAAAAATGATGGCCCAGCCAATGACACCCAATTCCTATGAATACATTTAAAAAAAACACAACTCATTTGTCTCTTTTCCACTTGCCACTTCCCAATACAGTAGAAAACAGCAGGTCAGCTCATTCTCAAAAGCAATCAGCATGGTTGCAAATAATAGTTAGCATGTTAATATCCTAACTTATGGATTTTTGTTGTAATTTTCACTTGAGGAACACTATTACAGTGGATGTGATGCTTTATCAGTGGAAATCTATTTGCTGAGGTCTGTATAACTGTGTTGTATTTCTTCTTTCATATTTAAATGCCATCATCACATTAAGTTATAAAAGTATTACTGCTTTGTTTTATTGGCACTTACCCAGGTTTCATGAAGACTCTGCCGAAATGGATCTGGGCATGTAGGTCAATGTCCAACACCTGCTTCAGGTAATCCTATCAGACAGTAACAGTAATGGTAAAGGCTTGCATATGATTTAAATGACACCATTCTGAAACTAATATAATCATCATTACATAACAGCTCCACAACCATTATACCACAGATTTTCAAATTATGAAGGATGTATTATGACATTGTCTCCATGATTAAAAGACACGGTTTTTGTTCCTGGCTTTATAAAGTTTGAAGTAGCTGCTGTTAACTCTCAGGCTGCCCTGTTCAACCTATACAAGCTTAAATCAGAGACACGCTTAACAATGGCAAACAATATCCCATTGTCGACAAAGCTATGAATACTTGATATATTTATTACTTGATCATAGATTTTAAATCATACAAACTTAACTCGCTAGCCTTATCTTATGCTGAAAACCCAAGATCTGACAATGCTTGTGACTTACTGAGATACCACATTCTGAAAGGTACGTTTCAGTGATGGACTGTATACTCAGGAAAGTGAATGCAAAGCTATTTAAAGAATGATAAACTATCAGCTTTCCAAACAAATGCCCTTGTGAACTGATTCCAGTTGCTTGCATAAATATAATGCTGGTTAATATTTCACCCCAGTCTTTTTTGCTTTCTGCTATAGTTTTCTTTGGAAATAAATCCAATATTGCTTAAGACTGTATATAGTGGTATGTAATTTTTCCATTTGTCAGTCATGAGAGGCAGTTACCATGTCAGCTATTTTCCAACATGAACCAACCAAAACAGGAAATAATTGATAGTCCCAAGCCATGTAAAGAATGTAGGTTTCAGTTTATTGCATATCTTCGTCTGCTAATGCAAATTGCTATAAAAGGTGTCTGTGAAAATGCCTGAACTCCAAGTTAGTTAACATCATCTCCCGAGCAATGCCAACTGTAATCACTTTGCTGGACATGCTTTCAATGTTAAAGGCCCCAAACTCTGAAATACTCTCTGCACATCCTCCACTTTTAAATCACCACTTTAAAGCCAATTTCTCCTTAAGTGCTTTAAAGTCCTACTTTGTGCGAAGTGAATGCTCATGTGATGTGTCTTGGAATGTTTATTACTGTAAAGGTACTATATAAAAATATTGTTGTGCCGTCAGCACCACAACCTGTGTGGTTGATGACTTTACATCGCTAATGTTTGTACTAGATAAAAAATACGTGCCCATTTCCTGAGCAGGAAAACAGATTACCTTTAAAATTTCTACGGAGTTTCCAGTGAGATTGCGACAATCACTTGTGGCAATATTGTCTAGCATGTTATATATTCAAAATCAAACATTTTTGGTCGGATGTTTAGATGTGAATTTGACAAGTTTTAATTGCCCACTCCTTCCCCAACCCACCCCACATCTTTTTTAAATGGGCTTGCCCTCAGAATAGCTGATCTATTACCTACCATTAACATCTACTGTTTATCTATATCATTTCCCTACTAACATTAACATTCCCATTTGTATTTTGTTTTGTGACATATTTACCATCTATGTCATTTGCTCCTCCACTCCTTTTTTTCTGTAGCATGAAACCAATCACTCTTCCAGGCCCCTTCAGTCCCAAATAAGAACCATACTGGACTTGAAATGTTAGCTTGCTTTCTTTTTCCACAGATGCTGTCAGACCTGTTGAGGTTCTCCAGCACTTTCTATTGTTGTTACCAACTTGGATTGGTCTGTTATGGGTGAGGGACATGAATTACAGGCGTAGGCAGCCTGACCAACTTACTTTTATTGGTATCAAGGTGTGGAGCTGGATGAACACAACAGGCCAAGCAGCATCAGAGGAACAGGAAAGCTGACATTTCGGGTCTGGACCCTTCTTAAGAAAATCTGAAGAAGGGTCCAGACCCGAAACGTCAGCTTTCCTGCTCCTCTGATGTTGCTGGGCCTGCTGTGTTCATCCAGCTTCACACCTTGCTATCTCAGACTCCAGCATCGGCAGTTCCTACTATCTCTTACTTTTATTGGTGTTGCTTCAAAATGTTTACATGTACTCGTACAAAAGCATGCAGTATGAACCATCTTGTAACCACGGACAGATACTGATGCCTTTTTACATGTGTTATTCTTTAATCCCCCGAAGTCAGACTCAGTTGACACAACATACGAATTAGGAGCAGGAGTAGGTGATTCAGCCCTTCGAGCCTGATCATTATCCTGGTCCCAACTCTACATTCCTGCCTGCTCCCCACAGCCCTTTATCCTGCTTTTCATCAGAAACATGTCTGTTTCTTTCTTGATTGATTCTGCCTCCACTGCACTCTGGGGCAGTGAGTTCCACAGATTCACAACCCTCTGAGAGAAGTAGTTTCTCCTCCTCTTAAAATACATCTACGACCTCTTGTTCAAGACTGTCCCATAAGGGGGAACATCTGTTTAACATCTTCCTTATCAATCCCCTTTAGCATTTTTCCGAACTCATTCTTCTGAACTTCTGCGAGTATAACATCGAGCTATTCGATGGCTCTTCGTACACAGCCCTCACTGGTCTCATTACACACGGACAAAGAAGGACATGAATTTGACTGGGACAACACATCCATAATAGCACAAGCCAAACAGAGATATGCCAGGGAATTCTTGGAGGCCTGGCATTCTAACTGGAGCTCCATCAACAAACACATTGAACAGGACCTGACACACACACCACTGAAAAACAGAACTAGAAATGATGCCAATCACCCCAGCAAACCGAGGCATATAAATAACAAGCGGGACAGAACATCAACGCTTTACTGGAGGTGCACTGATGATGTTACCCAGCAGGGTGATGAAACATCTGCAATCAAACACACTGGCTCAGCGAGCAAGTCCACAACCTCGTCCACAACTCTTCTCAAAAACTTTGTCCTTAGCTTCCTCGTTAAGCCATGGATGATTTTTCACCTTTTTACAATTCCTTTTTCTCTCGAGGATATACTTTAATCGAGAGGTATTGAGTAACTTCCTGAGCATTTTCCACTGATCTTCAACTGTGCTTCCCTTTAATATTTTTGCCAGTCCACTAGAGTCAACTCCTTCCTCAGGCCTGTACAATTAACTTTGCCCAACACTACAACTCACTTATACGATTCTCTCTTCACTCTTACATTTGAATTTCAACTCTAGAGCGTTGTAACTACTCCAAAGGATCCTTAACAATTTGACTATTTGTCAATCTTTCCTTATGTAATATCAAATTTAAAGGAGCCAGTTCTCTGGTTGGCTGTATGACGTGTTGCTCTAAGAAACAATCCTCAAGGCTACCTTAGCCAAGTTGACTAATCCACTCAATATGCATATTAAAATTACCCAGAATTACTTTCCCACAAACCCTCATTATTTCCTGGTATACTGTGCTCTATTTCGGAACTACTGTCTGGTGGCCTGTAAATTATTCCTACTAAGGGGTTTCTTTCCTTACTTTTTATTTCCATCCAGACTGCTTCAACATTTTGGTCCCTGGTGCCAATATCATTTCTTAATACATCCTTGCTATCATCCTTAACCAATAAAGCAACTCCACCTCCTTCTCCTTCTTGTCTATCCTTTCAGAATGCTGAGTACCCTTGGACATTTAACTCCCAGACCTGACCTTCCTGTAAACACATTTCACCAGGTCGTACCCATTTGTCTGTATTTGTCAGAGAGAACGGTGTCAGTAACATCCTGGATACATTCATGAGTTGAAGACTGGCAAATGCCACATAGGTTCCTGGTTGCACCTTGACAACAGCCATTGGCATAAACATTCAAGGCAGCTGTGACCTTGGTGGCAACGAGGATGGGCCACCCAGTGCTTCTGAGTGCAAGGCCGCCTCCAGTAGATTGTAAAGTTCAGCAATAATGGGATGGGACAACCTTAATTGGTACCTGCCCTGCCTTTCAGATGGTTGAAGACAATGACTATAGATGCAGGTCTGAGCATTCTCCCCTGCCTCCTTGGTGGATCTTCACCTGCTGCTTTTCCTTCTGAATGCTATACAGCAGCCCTGGTGGTGGCTGTTCTTGCTGGGATTGTTCATGAGGTTGTAATGGCTGTCTCCTTTTGTGTTGTCTTTGGCATTGCACTAAGCTACAATGAATTCAGGGATGGCATTCTAAAGTGAGTTCTATGAGCAGTTAATCTGTGGGGGCATGTCTGAAAAGTAACATGATTTTATTCAAGGAATTCCTGAACATTTGCATCCATCATTGAAGCCTCATGTAATGCTTTCACGCAGTATAGCTTCGAGGCTTCAGAAGGAAGTCAGTGTCATGCCTCCAGAAGGATCTCTGAGTATGTGAGCTTATCCAATTTCACAACCAAACTTTCACACCACATCAGAATTCTGCCTATAAATCACCGCGATAGCCTGCCACACCCTCCCACTGCAACCCCCGGTAATCACTATGATAGCTTGCCATACCCTGTTCCATACCCTGATAGCGTGCTCTGCACCACCCTGCAAAGAAAAGGCTCAATTCCACATGACAGCCTGTGTACTTGTATACTTAGATTTTAGCAAGAGGATCTCGCAGGTGGAAAGCACTGTCTTTCAGTACTTGCTATGGAATGCAGTAATGAAATGGAATGGAAACTTCAGGCTCCATTGTTGTTTTGTTGTTATGGCACTTGCCAGCTGATAGGAGAACGAGATCACTTAAGCACACTATGTAATGCTCATAATTGCTTGAAGATATCATTTTTAATCTGTTTTCCTGGCTACAAATGACTTGCTGAGTTTGAAGCCAGATGGGTGGCATTGCTTATCTGGAAGTCTAAGAGGCAGCTGACCTTCAGAGGAACAACTCAGGATGCCAGTGTATAAATCTGGGATAAGACTTAGGCTACATCCCATACCTGGGAGTCTGAGAAGCAGCTTGAAACTGGCCCACGCTGAGTTTGTAAGGAGAGCTCATTTTCTCTGAAGCCATAGGAAAGCAGTAAGCTCATTGGTTAATAAGAGGAACTGTTTTTAAATTGCTGTAAATTAGAAAAGTGTGTCTTTTTTTGACGAAGTAGCTTTAACTGAGAAAAACTGGGGAAAAAGGGAA